GTCAGACAGAATCCCTATGATAGGAGAGGGGTGGAACTGAATATCCTGAAAAAAGTTCTTTTAGGACAGATTTATCTTCCTTTGAATGACTTGAATTGGTTCACAGCAATTAATGTCACTATCAAGCATCACTCTGCTGTGTGTCTAATGAAGCTACGGATGAAATTACGGGCTCGGGAGTAGCCAATTCCTGTTTTGCTTACAAAAGGCCAGGACTCCGGAGTGGCCGCTGTTTGCCAGGCAGCCTGTGGTTACACCGGCAACACACGATGTTAATGAGCATGGCAGTTAATGAGGGTGGCAGCTCAGCAAGAGGCTTCCTGGCATTCCTTTCTCTTGTGTCCCTTTCGGTGTCTTTCATCCTGCCTCACAAAAAGGGATGCGGGTTTGCAAGTCAAAGGAGAATAATTTTGTACTTCAATGGTGCTGATTTCTGTGAAGTGCAGCTCACAGCTTGTGGTCATACTTTGTGCTGGGCTGGCTACGATTATTTGGAGTTTTGTTCCTTCTTGTTTTCTTCAGGCCGGAAAGAAAGTGGCTGGCCTAAAACGGTGCTTTATTTTGCACTGCTGTGTATAGGCTGCCAGAACATGACAAACAGTTTGAGGGTTGGGGTTTTTTTGTAATTTCCACTGGAGGCTTCACCTTGGTCTGTAAGATCCAGTATCATCACAGTAAGGGTTCTGCTACACTGGCTTTTGAAAAGATTGTTACTAAGTCTTCTGTAATGCAGTGCAAGTGCTCAGTTGCTCCACTTGTCTTCTGTCACCTCCTTTTGGCTGAAATTCAGATGAACTGAAAGATGGAAAGGGTGTTTAATAGTGCCAGAGCCACAGAGAAAGGTTCGATAACTGTGGGCTCAAGTTTTCAATTCCAAACCAGTGCTAGTTAATATGCAGTGTCTGAGACCTCCTGTGGCGGTGAGGTTGCTGCTTTTCATTTCTGAACTTGTGTTTGATGTTTTGTGGGCTTCTTGTTTGTTTGTTTGGTTGTTTTTTCCTGTGGGCCCAATGAAAGGTCTCAGAAACTTATTTTCCAGCATAGGGGAGTGTCTTTAAGGTTGCATATCTGTTTAGAGTAGAAGGAAAAGTGGCTGTGCGCATCCATCAACATCACAGGCTGCTCAGGCAGGTGTGAAGTTGCCCATATACCACCAAAGCTTTTTTCTCAGCTGAAAAACCCCTCCCTGCAGCAGGATATACTCTGAAACAAGCCGTGAGGCCGCTTCCTTCCACCGCAGTGTTCGACTGCACCTCCCAGGCTCGCTGCAAGCCAGGGCCTGGCTGTGAGGGAAACTAGGAGGGCAGTGGGTGGGGTTTGGCCAAGCGTTGCCCCGGGAGCAGGTTGGACACAATAGCGATGATGTGCGTCCAGATTCACAGCTTGCCAAAACCCTCTGCAGGGGACTGTGTTCTCTTTTGAGTTGCTCTGGGGGTGCCGCATCTCTGAAAGCCGTGCCTGGCTCTCCTTGGCTGGGGTGAATGTGAGGCGAAGCCGGGGAGCGTGCAGAGAAGCAAATTTTGGTCCATCCTGAGGAAGGGGACATGTAACCACCGGTACATCTTACTACCACGACTGCAGCTTTATGTGGTGTACTTCTTGTGACGGGCTTTTGTGTGACAGCACATTTCCAGGTGAAAGAATCAGCCTCGGGAACATTGCAGCAGCTGGAATCGACTACCAGGTAAGCTGGCACAGGAATGCACAACTGCACGATGGTTCTTACATACGCAAGTCTTGCGCTGCATAGGTAAGTACCTAACCCGCAGGCGGTAACGCTTCCTGCTTAGAGCAAAGCTTTTTGACGTTGAGGAGCTACGTGGATGGTCTGAGATGTATTGCAGAGGAGAGAACAGCTGGGAGACAGGAAAAGGCAGAGCTGTTTCAGTGGAGAAGTGCCAGGGTTGTGAAGGGACTTTCTTGGACCGGGCCATGTGGAGAAATGTGCTTGTGTCAAATTCCTGAAGCGGTGGATGGCACCACCCGCAGACAGTTCAAGGAGCCAGAGATGTTGCCAGTGACTCGTTTGTTCCGGCTCTGCTGGTTGGCTCCATGGGCTCCTCACCACGGTTTGTCATTTGGGAGTGTCTGGCCTTGCAGGAGTCAGTAGGTGCAGGTACGGCAATCGGACATTGCGATGTGTTTCCAGCTTCTTCTTTTAATGTCAGCTGGAGAAGTGTCGGTGACCTTAACTAGCACCAAGTAGGTTTTTTTCTGTCTTTGAGAGTTGTGAAAAATAATGGAACAACAGAAAGATACTGTCTGCTGTTCCCGAGAGCTCCCGTTTGTTTCAGCAACAGATGAAACATGCTACAAGGTTTGATGGTTTTAATGCAATTGAACTGTTCACTCTTTGCTTCAGTAAAAGGATGTTTCTGAAAACAGGATCTAGTGAGTCACCCTGTTAAATACTTAACATTAAAAATGTATTAATGATTTTAACTCTATATGGAATTTTAATTCTTTACTAAGGAAACATCTTGTCAAGCCTTCACTAATGTTCAAAAAGTGTTTTGCTACAGTTCCCAGCTTTCTGTCGTGTTCTTACTAACTTCTTGTTCCTTAAAATTCTTCGTCTTTAATAATAAAATGTAATTTTTGCTACAAAATGTGGTTATGATGCTCTCTAGTCTCTAGAAGAGCACAAGCCGTGCAGTTCTAGCAGAACTGTGCTTGCTTGTGGCTTTCCTGATGAAAAAAGTGAAGTCTGTCAAACCTACCTGGACTCATGGAAAGAGGCGCGGGACCTGAGGGACCTTTTGTACGTTCAGCTCACTAGGGCACACAGAGCAATTCCAAGATAGATCTTTCCCGCTGCAAAACAGAAAAGTCAATCCACGTGCTGTGTATTCTCTGTCTCAACAGATCTAAGTGAATCCTGTAAGAGAGTTTATTCCTGATTTGCATTTGTGCTTTTTTTTTTTCTGGAATGAATTTACTGTTAACCCTTTGTTGTTATATAAATTGCTTACCCAAACTTTTGAGAAGTAAATTGAGCACTATTGTAATAAAATGCCCTTCGGTTCACTTCCTCAGAGGCTTTTTACCCAGCTAAAATTCTGCAACTGTTAAACAGCTCAGTGAAAAGCAGTAAAGTTCCTGTCACAGAGATGGAACAAAAGATCTCTTTGTGCTAGTCAAGAATACCCAGAGGCTTTTCCGTGCGTTGCTGAGTTTTGCTTTCTGATGCTTTTCGTACAGATGACTTCTCCGCTTTGTGACCAGTACCTGCTCCGAAAGGGTATTCTTAGGGCTCAGGTGTCCAGGTAATGAGCAGAACTTGAATAGACAGGGAAACCAAAGTGAAGGTTGATAATACGCGAGTGCTGGCAAGCTGCCAAGGCTGACCTTGGTAAATGTGATTCTGCAGGAGCTGCGGAGCGTGACATGGGCCCTGTGCTGTGTTTAAGCAGTCAAGAGGATTAGCCTGAGCCCTCTGACTGCTGACGGGTACCCTGCACATGGGCATAAGCAGGTCCCTTGTAAAAACTGCAAAGAAACCCAGATGATGATTGTTGTTGGGAGATTTATGTAACGCAGGGGAGGGGGCAGGGGATTCTGCTGATGGTCTTTTCTGATACAAAAAGCAAGCTGGCAGTGGTTTCAGCACCTGCAAGGAGTATCCTAGCAGCATCCCTGAGGAAACTTCGTGCCAGGACTTCTTTCTGAGTGCTTTTTTTGTTGAACATAGCAGCAATTGTAAAACAAAGGTCAAGAGCAATTTGAACTCTTGGAAAAATACTGGCTTACAAAGTCATCCAACAGACTACCCAATCACAGTTTAGTTAAAACATGAATAGCACTTAATCTGAAACACCACCTCTTACTTCTGGGAAAATTACTGTTGACATTTAACATTAGTTTTTGCCTTGTGAGGTTACCAGGAGTCCCTGCTGCCTCCTGCAACTGAGGACACCCAGGGGCTCTGTGCAACACGGAACGGGGAAGTACAGAACAGCCAGGCAGTGGGAACAGACCCTCGGTTTAATTAAAAAAAAAAACCGGGGGGGGGGGGGATATTTTAATTATTTTTTTTATCTGAGAAAGATGTATGCAGTTATTGTCTCGTTGTAGGCACAGCCCTCAGGTGAGTCACTGCCACATGCTTTGTCCTCAGATTTCAGGGGTAATACTCATTTCAGGTTTCCGGAGAGTGTCTGAGATAGCCCGTCAGGAGAACTTGCTGGGCTTGCTCATGCTGGGGAGAGGCAGCGTTTGCATTTTGTAGCTGGGGGGGTTGAGGGGAAGTACTGATTCCCTTCTCAGCCCCCTGGGCTGGGGCAGCAGAGTTTCTGGGGGAGCTCTCAGCCCCTTTGCACTTCTGGTTTCGTCGTGAAGAACAGGAATGACGTTCCTGTCTCTCGCTAGGAGAGGTGGTGATGTAGCCTGAAAAATGCGTGAAGTTGTAACAGGAGGTTTTGCCCCCTGCCTCTAGAACCTGGTCTAAAAATGGAATTTTTACCATTTCTATTCAAATTTGTGTAATAGACAAGGCACAAAGCCCATTCATTGCTTGTCTTTTTTTCCCCTTGCATTCTCAATGAAGAGATTTTTGTACTTAGATTATTGGATGTTGACCCTTTTCATTAGCTACTTAGAAAAATACAGTCTCTGCATGGTTTCATATGAAAACAGTAAAAAGTTCAGCATTCATGAGACATAATTCTCTCAGCTCCCTGCTTATTAAGCTAAATAATGGTTTAAGCTAAAATTTAATACCAAACAAACCAACGTGCTTAAGGTAACCTTCTCTTTCCTTCATTACAAAGGCACTTGAAAAGCATTAGAGCCATCTCCCTTCTCTGAGAAATACTTCTGAGCAGTTCGCCAAAGAAAATTAACTGAGGATGAGGTGCTTGTTCTGAGGCAACATAATAAATTTTCAGTGAAAATCTGTATCGGCCAATAGAAACAATGAAACACTATGCCATTCAAACAATCTATTTTTTTCCTTCTTTTTTTTGTCTCCTTCTGGACCTCAGGTGATGTGACTCGCTCTCATGAATCCCCTCTCACAGTCGCGCTCCATTCCTCTGGCAGAAGGAATATGCCGTACCGTGTCGGTCATGAACGCAGATCACGTGATGGTCACGCAGGAAACTTTAACGGAGCAGTTAGTGAAAAATTATCCAGGTAACGCGTTTGTTTCTCCCTCCTTTTAAAAGCAACTGTATCATCAAGCTTGAGTTTCTGATACTGAGCAAGGGTCTGTGCACGCTCCTCATCGATCTGGGAGGGTCACTAAAGTTGTGAACGCAATCCTTTGTTCAGATTGTAATAAACCTTCTCGGAGAACTAAGAGGGAACAGAGTGCAGTAGCATGCTGAGAGCACGCCCTTTCTAGAGGGTAGGGAAGCACCGATGAGCTATTTACGTACCAGATATGGAGCAGCATAAAACAGGCTCTGTCAGGTCACAAAGAGTTTGAGCCCTCCTTTAAGGGACAGAAACCTAGCTGGCTTTGATGGCAAGGGGACTGGGTAGGAGTCTCCACCTGATGTTTGCTATCAGAGAGTACAGCTGGCCTCCAATTCAGGTTCATTGGTCAAATTCCAGCCCCTTCCCTGGGGAGCATTTTCACTTGTGGGAAGAATGCTAATGCGGCCCCACAGACTGGCCCCGAACCCTGCCAGGAATGTGACGTTGTCCATACGCACCATTTTTAGGGCAGGCAGAAGTAGTGCTTTCAAAGTTTGTAGGGAGAGAGCTTTCTTGCCATGTTTTCACATTGCTGGAGGTTTTCTTTCATGTGGGCAGGAGATGAGCAGAAACCTGAGGCAGTAGATCAGATTAATGATTTTAGGGCTGTCACACAAGGGAAAACCTACTTGAACTTAGTTTCAAACTTCTTTTGGAATCCTGTGAACTAAATACATTGGGTGTTTCATGTTCAGCGGCTTTTGGATCTGGTGTAAGTCAGTTGTTTTTCAGCCAGCTCCTGTTTTATTTGAAAACCTGTTTCTGATTTGAAATGTCTGCATCTTTGTGGTAGGCATTGCAGTTCCCTCCCACAACATCTTTTATAATATCCTTGGCACTCTAATTAAAGAAAGGAAAATCTATCACACGGGAGAAGGATACTTCATTGTGACTCCCAACACGTACTGTACCACAAACAACGCCGCAGAAGACAACGGGCAGGTCCTGCTGGAGGAGAGTTGTTGCTGTTCATTGCCTTCCACCACGTACCTGGTAAACATCGAGCGCAGCGCAGACCTGCTGAAAGAAAACATTCCTGCAGGATCCCATTACAGAGCGTGTTGTTTCCCTGACCACAGCGGGCTCTCTGAACAAAGACGTTGTCGGCTAATGAACCATGAGCCTGATGGAGGAGGTAGGAAAAGCTGCAGTGAATTAAAGCCTTTGATTCCAGCTCAAGGGATCTCCGCACCAGCTGAAACCCATCCCTGGGACACCATCAAATCCCTGACAGCGGTGAAGGAGAAACTGAAAAGCAAAATGTTTGGCCTTGGCCTTTTCTGGAGAAGTGCTTCTAAAAAAGAAAAACGTAAGAAGGAGTACTCCACGTTTTCAGCCCAGTTCCCTCCCAAGGAGTGGCCAGTCAGGGATGAAGATGACTTAGAGAATATTCCATGTGATATTGAACAAGAAATCATCAAGCGTATTAACCCTGCTCTTACAGTCGATAATTTGATTAAACACACAATATTAATGGAGAAGTTTGAGGAGCACAAAAAATATATTGGTAAGGGTACCTCAGCTGAAGCATCAGTTGTCAGGCAAAGCTGCCTTTTGAAGGATTGTGTTCCAAAGACACAGAGTAAAACAGCAAAACACACTAGGAAAACCAAAGCAAAGGAAGAGAAGCAGAGTAACAGAAGCAGCAGGAAATCTCACGTGTGTGACCTGACGTCCCCAAATGAGAACCTGGAAGAAAACCTTTCTGTGATTGTCAGAAATCAACTGCCACCTGAGGCTGCCATGGAATCCCATGTCATATATAAAAAACAAATTAAGAATCCTTTTCAGGGTCTGTCACGGAGACGCACCTTTCATGCACGAGGGCACAAAGGCACTGCTATCCACCAGCTGGGGTCCAGGACTCGAAAGCAAGAAAGGGATTTACAAAGGCCACAGTCCTTGGACTCCTCAAAAACCAAGCAGCCGGCAAGTGAAACGCAGGCTCACAGAGCAAAACAGAACAAGCTACTCCACGCTACTAGGTCTTCCCTCCAACTAAAAAAAGACAGTTTAAGTGAAAAATTCAGTTATCCGCAAGGCAGTACTTTGCAAATAGATAATGGAAGTGAGTATGTTCTGGAAAGTAATATTCCTGAAGAAAACATCTACAGAAGAACAGTCAAAAAACATCCTGGGGATACTAAAAAAGCCCCTTGCTCCTACACTGAAGATAACGGTGTGTGCAAAGAAGATGCAAAACTTTTATTACACCTGAAAGAGGAGTATCACAGGTACGAAGCTGACACTCAGTTATTAGATCAAGCAGCAAGTGAATTTCAAAGTGTCTGTCTTTCATATTACATAGACAACGTTAACCTGGTGGAAGAAAACGGTGCCAAGTATAGACAGAAGACTGATAAAAAGAGTGAATTTATATTTGAATATGACTGTGCCAGCCATCCCGGATCGATGAAGCTGCGGAGTGAAGGATTTACTGATAACCGCCACCATCTGTACCAAAAAGCAGGTGACGGCGACACCTGCACCTCATTCCATCTGGATGACAATTTTGAAGGCACTGAACTGTGTCACCTGGCTCCTGGCCGTGCCTCTTCAGATACACGAGGCTACAGTAAAGCTGGGCAAAAGCTGGGGACACCAGTGTCCCCCAAAACCTGTGTGGATAATGCTTGTCTCTCCCAGTACAGTGCAACTGGAATCAAACGTGACTCTGAAGAGCGCGGCTGTAGGGAGAGCACTCGCTTTGCAGAATCCACAGATGACTCGAGAGCACCCAGAACTGGATTTCGCAGGAGGAAGCTGTTTGTGCAGTCAGGTTCTCCTGACAGGTCGCAGAAAGGAGGAAGAAAATGGCCCGGCTGAAGGTGTGGGGGCGTCAGCTGAAGCAGGTTTCTGCCACACTAACGAGGCCAACGCCGGCGCTCCTCAGAACTTCACCTGTGCCTTGGGCTCGCGGACTGAAGAAACAGGAAACTCTCTGGGAAAGAGCGATGTGTTTTTTAAGAACGCGTGTGTTGTGATGCCAGGACAGAAATACTCGGAAGGGATGGAAAACCACAGCGTTACAGGAGACAGTGGAATTGACTCCCCAAGGTAAGAAAACACAGGTAACCATGCTACGTGATTTTTTTTTTTATCTTCAAATTACTAATCAGATTTAGGCAGAGATGTTGTTGTAAATCATGATGCCCCTCCCCAACAATAAAATTCTTACTATCATCTCTAGAAACTTCAGCATTATGTGCTGGAAATACACAAACTGTATAGTTCTACCGTGTCTTTTTACATGAACATTCCCCCTAAAACAGCTATAAAAATGCTGCTATTTGGATCTGTATTTTGCATTCGTGAGGCAAAAAAATAGCATGAGCTCTGCCTTGTGGATGGAGGTGGCTGAGTGGAGAAATGTCAAGAGACATGGTGAGTGATAAAATCCTGTTAGCAGGCAGGTGCAGCTTGTGTTCGTCTTGCCATATGACATTACAGGTATTGTCATAGCTTCCCCAGCTGAAGAATAAAAAATACTTTATAGAGGTGTTGAATCAAAATTTCAAGTACAAATACCATGTGACTTGCTCGCCGTAGACAGGAGAAGGTGTATATCTACACTTGAAAAATCCCTTAACGGAAAACAAATTGGTGTGAAACAATTTTGTGCACAGTCACATGTGGAGAAGACCTACAAGCCCGTTAACTAAATTGGCAAGAGCATAAGTTAAAATACTGCAAGGGGAAAAATATTTCCTTTTTTTTTAATATCGTTGCATAATCTTAAAATCGTAAATGACTGGTATTTAAGTGTAATTAAACCATTTGAGTGCTTGTTACATGTGTACTGTTGCCTTGAGAGGCTGGTATATGAAGGAACAACTCACATACCACAGTTTTTAAGGAAATCCTGCTGATTTTTTTTCATTCCTTTAAGCGGCTTTTGGCTGTGCACTCTTTCAGGCATACTTCTACTGTATTGCTTGAAAACAAACACTGGAAATCTGCTGAAAGCTCTTTCAAAGGTTCGTTTTAATTTTTTTGTGTAGATGCTGTCAGCAGTACCAGAAGGTAAGCCAACTCAGTTTTAGACTGTGACCTCTAACATCTAATAATTCTGTTATTTCAGAGGGACTGAAACGAAGATGAAGCTTCCTGCCAAGTTCTGAAAGCGTAAATACTTAATGCAAAGAAGAGGACAAAGTGGAAGGACAAATGCAGCAAAATTCCTTGCTTCAGCTAGCTGTGGTCGTGAATATTTGATTATTATTGTTTCTAATGAGCTTTGTAAGCTTTCCCTTTGTGACAATGCAACTGTAGTGTAAACGTGCTCGGTCCCATCTGTGAGGCTGCCTCTGAACCAGGGCTCAGAGCCTGGCTGTGGTCTCTGCGGAGCTCACCTGTGCTTCTGTCGCACTTGTCTTCAGATAGTTTTGGCGTCCCTGGGGTAAGGAGAGCGGAGACGCTCCAGCAGCGCACACCCTCCACCGGGAAGGGCTGGCGTTGCTCCGGCAGGTCGGTGCCCCGAGCCCCCCGGCCCTGGGTTACCTCACGGCCTCCGGAAGAAGCCCCGACTCTTGGTCTCCAGGGGTTTTGGAGGCAGGAGGCTGGAGGGAGCCGTGGTTGCCTATTGGAGATTCTTCCTCACGGAGAGTGTCCCTGCCTGCGAGGAAGCGGCAGTTTGAACGGGGCCCACCTCGGCCCCGTCCGGGCCGCCCTTTCCCCCTCAGGCTCCATGCCTCACGCTACCTGCCGGCCGGCAGCTCGTACTGCCTTTTAATAAATAAATAAATGAATGCATGAAATCC